GTCATTGATAGTGCAGGGAGAGGACTGCGAAAGCATTTCCCCGTGTTTGGAGGGTCCACCCATGTCCCTTCCAAACCCTGGCGCTTTCGGACACGTCTTCCCACTAGTTTGTGTTACTTCCTGGTACGTGGTGCTGTGTGGCTCTTTGAAGAGTCCCTTTTGCCCGGCCGCACCGAGTTTATGGATGAGGGATAGTCACTCCCCTCCTAGGGCTCCCCTCCTGGAACCTTTCTGTGCCTCCCTCCCCATCACATGCACCCCTTCCCACATCCCCAGTCCCACCTCTTAGTGCTAATCACACCTGGGAAGTGTTGGCTTGTTGATCATGTCCCCATGCGATGATCTTGAGGGCAGTGGCTCAGTCTTGTTTTGCATTGTGCTCAGTGGCTGACATACAGCACCTGGACAAAAACAAGGCAGAATAACAGGATGAGGCTCATCCCATTGTGGGTGGTTAGGGGAACAATAATAGAGCTGGGCCAAACACAATACAGTTGAGGATATATATGTAAGTAACTCTTAAACTAGATGGTAGACATGGGACCTTCCCCTACCTGATTACCACCCCGCCCCCCTCACACCCCTCCAATTCCTACTAGTCACTGCCAGTCAGCCATGGCACCCTCCCTAAAACTTGGGCTTGGCATCCTTTCAACATAGACTTGTTAGTAACAAATTGATCACAGCTGGCACATAGGATAACACGGATGTTACTCATGATCACAGACGATCTGCAGACCCCTTCCTGGAGTTAAGTTGTTCTTGTTCCTGCGACGGCAGTGTGGCCATTCAGGTACTCATGGTAACAGCCCACATTGTCGGTGCTCTAATCTGCCAGCTACTGTGCCGTGTTCTGTGCCCCGGGGCCTGCTACGAGTGCCCATTGATGGCTTGTCCCTTGCAGATGGGTCTGCGGGTGCAGAGGTGCCATGGGAGACGGCAGTGTTCTTCATGTCAGTCTCCATATCAGCCGGGCGCTAGACCATGGGGTCCTGAGGTAAGTTTTTTGGACCATTTTCTGGAATTTGTTGTTTTACATCTGTGATGTCACATGCATATTCCCTGGGACTTGGATGAAAATGTAAGGGGAAGGGAGTTAGAGGGGGCATCCGTGAGTTCACAGTTGTGTCCCTGCTCTGGGCAGTCCTTCACATGCCTACAGAGAGGGGCCTCTAGGAATCTGCCTGGGTAAGGAGCTCCCTGGGGCATCGCCCTTCCAAGTGCCGAAGTGTCAGCAGGTGCTGTGATGGAAAGCATGTAGGTTCAGACGCCAGAGACTCTGGTCCCACCTCTGAACCTATCCAGCTGTGACCTAGTCTCTCTACTTCTTCATCTGAAAATCAAAGCTGGGGTAGCAGAGAAGGTTTTTAACTTTTGTACATGGTGGTGTCATGACCACATGATCCTGATCTTTCCCAGCTGAAAAGCATTTCTAATTTTTTATGCTGGTAGTGTCTAGGCCAGCCGTGGGCAAACTACGGCCCGAGGGCCGGATCTGGCCCGTTTGAAATGAATAAAACTAAAAAAAAAAAAAAAAAAAAGACCGTACCCTTTTATGTAATGATGTTTACTTTGAATTTATATTAGTTCACACAAACACTCCATCCATGCTTTTGTTCCGGCCCTCCGGTCCAGTCTAAGAACCCATTGTGGCCCTCGAGTCAAAAAGTTTGCCCACCCCTGGTCTAGGCTCTGGCAGAGATTTCAGAGGGTCTTTGCAGGACGCAGCAGAAGCTGTTGGGGTTCTGCTCGGCTGGGCCGCTCGCCTGTCTCAGCCATGCCCCTGATACCAGCCTCCCGCCCTGACTGTCCTTTTCTGCTCCTGCATTCGAAAGTGACCGTGGGCTGCTGTGCCCTGGTCATTGGTAGTGCAGGGAGAGGATTGCTGAAAGGAGTTTTCCCCGTGTTTGAAGGGTCCGGCTGTCCCTTCCAAACCTTGGAACTTTCACACACTAGTTGTTTCCTCCTGCCATTCTCTTCGCTGACCTCATGTGATATAGTGACTGGGTTACCCTCTGATTTGTGGCTTCACTCTGTCTTTTCAAGTTAAGGATCCACTCCCCAGAAACCAGTCCATGTGTTTACATTTGTACCTCACAGTGGAGTAAATTCAGATAGTGCTGAAGGGCATGCATAATTCATGGGTTCTGCTTTATAAATTATAGGGGTGTAGGATAATCCATAATAATACATTATTCAAGACAGCCAGTGGTGTTTGTGTGTTTTTGCTCCTTGACTCTTGAGCACAACTACATTGCTTCTCCAGGAGCCGTCGGTAATATCAAATTAATGGAGGAAAAAAGTAAAGTTGGGGGCCAAGTATAGTGGCAAAGAGGGGTTCTATCAATTCCGAATCAGTTTGTATTGTCACAGTCTACCAGAAGATTGAGGAGTTTTCTTGTCAGTCACAGAGGAGAGTCAAGCACATTGACTATTTATTCTCCTTTCGCTGACATTTAACCTGTGCTTTTGTGGTTTCTCTTGAAAAGGGTGATCCTGGGTGTTACTAGAGAAGACATTTTCAGGCCTGTGGATCTTTGGAATCTGTATTTGTAGACTCGATCCGTGGCTTGCATTCTGGTTCTTGTTAGAATGGTGCATTGCTGACTGGACACCCAGACATGGAGTCAACCATTCTTCTGCCTTTTGTTCCGTGCAGGTGTGTTCTGTAGGAGGCAGAAACCTATGGCGCTGCCTTCACTCTGTAGACTCAGGAAATGCAACATGGTGCCCCTGAAAGGCATGTCTTAGCTGAGGTGAGTTGGAGGTGAGGTCAAGGTATTCTTCTCATCGGTCCCCACTTTTGGTCAGAGGACTCCTGTCTAGTTCCCAGGTGCTCTTCCATTGACATTCATGTCGTTCGTCTTTGAGGAGGGGATGCAGTTTTGCCATGTCTTTTGCCATATGTCTCATGATGATGTGAAGGTAGTGAGAATAATACATGTAACCCACCTGGTACAGGCAGCCATCTAATAAACATGAGATTTCCAAACCTGCCCTCTGCCCCTTTTGCATCAGAGGCTTGTCCTGTCCCACAGCCTTGTTACCAGGCCTGGGGCTCCTCAGTCATGTTGAAGGATTTAGTGGACAGTGGTGACCATTTTGAAAAGACAGTTTATCACCACCACCACTCCCACCTGGTAATTCATACCTGTGGGGGCAGCAACCTGTGGACTGAGTTGGAGCTCGCTTATGTAATGTGTTGAGGCTTTGATGATGTTTTCTCATTTAGCTTTCAGTGGGTCTGGCAGTCTTTTTTTTTTATGTTTTTATTGATTTGAGAGAGAGAGAAACATCCATTGGTTGCCACACACACTGGACTAGCGACCTTTCAGTGCATGGGATGATCCTCAGCCAATTGAGCCACACTGGCCAGGGCAGGGCCAGGCAGTCTTGATCTTCAAAGATCTGGGCATCTAACAAGTCTTGCTGGAGGTTTATCTTTTATTTGATGACAATTCGATGTGAGAGCCACTGAAGATGGTGGTCAAGATGCCATGGGACCTGTGTCAAAGCCCCTGACAGAGGGCTGAGCTGTCCTCTTGAGGGTTACTCTTATCTGGGTCAGCTGTCCTGATCATGAACCACTTGAAAGAAAATCATTTCCTATAAAAAGTGGGCTTTTAATTTTAAGTTGGTTTTTCTTTATTGCCCTTTCCATTCAGGTGCTACCTAGTTTGGTGTGCATACACTGGGAGCTTGGGCCTGGCTGATCGGGGCCCTCTTGGTGATGTCGCTTGGGGAGAAGATGGCACTAGAGGCTGAATGCTTATATGCTTCCTCCTAGGCCAGCCTTAGATCCAAGACTGTTGAAGAAAGTCCCACGGCCATGAACCAGTGACCCTCGGGATGATTTGGGAGCTGGGTTTCCTGATATTTCTCACCAAAGTGAGTTACTGCCAAGGGCTGGGAACCGATAGCTAGAGGATAAGCTGTTTTGTGTTTATGCAGATGCGAGCTCCAAACCACTGGACTCACCTTTCCTTTCTTTTAGATTCTCTTGGTGTTTGTGGAGACCAGAGGGGCAGAGAATTGAGAGGCAGGTCCCCACATGAAGCCTCACCACAGCTCTCCCCTCTGCCCGCTCAGAGCATCACGGACAGCTTCACTCCGCACAAGAGATCAGAGGGAAGCTTGGGGTCTACTTCAACCAGCTCTGCGTCTTGACAGCAGCACCCTTAGAGGGCCAGCCCGTGTCCCTCAGCCATGCCCGGAATGACTTTAGTAGCCAAGAATTTCTCTCTTGAATTTGTAGCTGCTCATCACTTTCCTCCACCACCCATTTAATAAACCTGACCACCGTGCTCTGTCTGCCTTTTAAATCAGCATCAAGCCACGTGCCAGCAAGGCTGGGCCTGGAGGAAGTGGGTCACGGGCCAGATCTCGTTTTTAGTCCTGGTGTGTTCTCACTCTCCTGAGGCGGGGCACGTGGGTAGTTGTTTGAAGTGTTCAGTTAGGACTAGGCGGTGAACAAGGCATGGTACTTGGTTCAGATTTAGGACCCATGACAGTTGAGGTGTTGAGGAGCAGTCAGGCCAAGGCTTTGGAAGGGTGGCTGGTGACAGTGGACTAGAGAGACGATGCTGATATCAGAGAAAGTGGGGTGTCCTGGAGTTCTGGGGCTTGGCTCATAAAAATTTGCCTGCTGTGTGACCAACTGTCCAAGTTTGCCTGGGATTGAGGGGTTTCCCAGGACGAGGGACTTGAATTGCTAAAACCAGGTAAGTCCCAGGCAAACGGACGAGTTGGTTGACTTATCTGGGGTGTAAAATAAAGGTGGGAGCAGGGTGAATGGAGCAGCTGCTGTTGGACACACCCTGGTGTCCTCAGGGTCAGGCTTTTTGGAGATCTTTGGTTTAAAATAAAAAACTGCCACAATGTGAGGGTGTGCGTGCCTGAATTTTTTAATCCCATTTTACAATAGAGGGGTCTGTACATGAGTATGTCCCAAAGGCCATGATGAAAGGCTTGAGTTAATTGTCCACTTTCTGCATTTGAAGTAGAAACCACATTGGCTGGGCTGGGGCAGAATTCAGGCTGTCTAGCCTGCCTGAGTTTGGTACCTTGGTGGCCTCTACTGCAGGGGCAGGCGTTCTTCATGATTGACTTGTTCCACTCTGCCCCCAAGCTTCCTTTTCTGCCTTGCCCTTTAACACCTATCCAATGCCCTGGCTGGGCCTGTGTTACTCAGGGACACTCATGAGAGGAAGCGAAATGTCACAGCCACTGGGGCTCCACAGGGCAGGCAGGGCCAGTCCAGCTGTGGTGTGTCCCCTCCAGCCACAGGTGCTCCTCAGTCTTCAATCTAGTCTATGTTGGCCCCTACGAACAAGAAGTTCTGGAGAGAAGGCAAAAGGGCAGACAAGAAAGGCCATTATCTGAGTTGCTTAGGAACTTCCTGAAAGGGAAACTTTCATAGGGAGAGGCAAGTTACCAAATAAAAATCCAGTCAGTGCAGAAATCAAGACCTTAGGCTTTTATAAAAGGTCTTTAGCCCTAACTGGTTTGGCTCAGTGGAGAGAGTGTCGGCCTGCGGATTCAAGGGTCCCAGGTTCGATTCCGGTCAAGGGCATGTTCCTTGGTTGCGGACACATCCCCAGTAGGGGGTGTGCAGGAGGCAGCTGATCGATGTTTCTAACTATCCCTCTCCCTCTCTAAAAAAAAAATCAATAAAATATATTTTTTTTAAAAAAAAAGGTCTTTATAAAACTGTCCTTGCCCTAGCTGGTTTGGCTCAGTGGATAGAGCATCAGCGTGTGAACTGAAGGGTCCTGGGTTCGATTCCGGTCAAGGGCACATGCCCAGGTTGCAGGCTTGAGCCCCAGTGTGGGGGAGGCAGCCGATAAATGATTTTCTCTCATCATTGATGTTTCTCCCTCTCCATCTCTGAAATCAATACAAATATATTTTAAAATAAAACTGTCCTTATCAGCTGTTGGCCCCCAAGAAATTATTTGCATATCCTAAGCTCTGGTTTCTGGAAGACATCCATAACCACTCTCCTCCAAAATGTTTTCTCCCAGGAGAATAATGTATACTCAGGTGCCGCTTGAGTTATTCCCCTCACATAATTTCTGAGACTGTAGTCCTGGATTACCTTAGAGTAAAAAATAGGATCGATACTTTTTTTAAAAAAGTTTAAAAAGAACATAGGAACAGTGAAGACATTGCAAACTAGTCCTTCTGGATTTATATCATAAGTTGTACTATGATGGTCCCTGTCCCCTGCCCTGATAAGTTCCTACCACTAGAAGGCATGGCCGGTTTTTCTCCAGGACCATCCCTTGCTGCTGTGGGTAGGAGGCCTGGTCAGTGCCCACTGGGGACCCTCACTCCACCAAGGACATCCAGGGCTTCTTCAGGTGGCCTCTCCTCAACCCAAAAGTATTGCATCTGATCTGACGCCTTTGCACATTCTGCCATACATGGCTAAGGACCTTGCACATGAAGCCCAGATTTCAGATCATCAAAACCTGCCATTTATACTCCAAAATTCATTTTTCTATGAAAATTAGGTCTAGGATGTAAGTGGGAGTTAAGGACTCCCCCTAATATCCATCAACCCGAAAGCAGCCCTCCCAGGCGTTCTTAGAGCTCCCCACCAGGCCCCACTTCTCACTGACCTTGTGGATTTGGAGCTCCAAGCTGCTGAGGTAGGTGTCCCTGGGCAGAGGGAGTGGGAAGCCCTTCTCAAGCTTTGCTGGAAGATGAACAGCAGAGAGTGGGCAGGACAGAAAACACTGGGAGGCGTGGAGACACAGACATTGCATTTGCAGCTGGCCATTGAGAGTGGGCCCCTGAAATGGAGACTATTGGATTCGGGGCTGTGTGGGTTTTTTTGGGGGGAGGGGAGTGGTATACACAGGCAAACACTTGGGAAATGCAGCCTCTAGGAGTCTACAGCCTCCTGGGCTTCTGTCCCTTCAAGAGCCTTTCCTCAATCGTCACCCAAAGTGGCCAGGGCTGGGCCGTGCAGTGTTTCTATCCAGGGACTCATCCCCAAGGACCACAGCCCTAACCTGGCTCAGCACCCACGGGTGTTAACTCCAGGTGTTCTCCACGTGCCACCTGGAATGCTCCCTCTTCTTGGGTCTAACTCCTTGTGCTTTGGACTCAACTTAGCCCTCACCTCCTGGGGTGACCTCTAGGAGGTTCAGTGCCTCCTCCTAGCTCCTGCAGCCCCCAGTGCTTCCTCCTGTTGTGACATTTATCAACTTACACCTGTGCCTTCCCAACCAAGTGCAAACTCTGTGAGGGACAGTACCCCAGCCAGCACAGAAGACAGGCTCAATTTGTTAAATGAATGAACCATAAATGCTACAGAAAAGGTAGAATTCAGCCTTCACACGTGGCAGTCAGTAGCAGCTATTCTTACCGTTGAGAGAGGGATATATAATGTAGGACGCGTAGTAATTGAAGATGGATTCCAGCAACTGCACCTGGAACAGGAGGGGCCAGAGCAAAAGGATCAAATGAGTCCAAGAAAAGAGCATCTGCCCCCACCTCTGGACACATTCCACTTACAAAATAGAGGTTGACTGTCCTGTCAGCACCACAGATAAACAGCTCCCTGTTCACAGTCCCCCCAAACTCCAAATCTCTGAACTTCATTCTCCATAACTGCATGCAAGCTCATTTTAAGGCAAAATGACCACAACTGTCACAGGGCTATCTACTTTGTGTGAATATTTTAAAAATTTGGTGGCAGAAATAGTAATGTGTTTGATTATAGAGTGCTGCCCTAGACCCTGCTGGAATTGTTATATAATGTGGTACATGCCCCATATTATCTCAAAAAATCTGAGGTAGATGCTATTATTCCCATTTTACAGACAGGGAAACTGAGGCTTAGAAAGGGTGAGTGATTTGCTAAGGTCACACAGCTAGCAAGTGGCAGAGCTGATCTAGGAGCCTAGATCTACCTCCCTTCAAAGCTCATACTCTCAATGTCCCTGTCCTGTCGCCCCTTGAGCCCTCAGGCAATGCTTCTCTTGGCCAGTTAACTTTCAGATGTGGTGTCTCATTTCCAGCAAGACTGCGGTGCGTCTTCTTCTGGGACTTTGTCACTTCTTGAACCCCACGATGCCCTGCTTGGGCAAGACAGTCAAGAAACACTGAAGAGAAAACAACTCACATTGAAGAAACCGATGTTGGAGTGTTTCAGTTCCAGTCCCAGCTTACTGTGTGGAGAAGAGAGAAGCATGGTCACTCCAGGCCGTGGCTAATACTCTTTCACACTTATGCCGTGGGCTGTGCAGTCCCTATGGGCAAGGGCATTTCAGGGGCTGGGCCCCCACCAGCTCCTCTGCAATTTAAGGCTTTCAGCATGCGCTGTGATTTAAGAAGTGGCATTAAAAAATAGTGTTATCTGAGCACCTTCGATAACTTGGAAGAAACTATGATGACATACATATTAACTGGAGAAAGTGGAAGATAAGAAGTAATGCACTGTATGTTTCCAGTTATGTATAAAAAAAGACTGGAAGGAAACATGAAACTATTAAGAGTAATAGTCTCAATGGGGCAAGATTATGGGTGATTTTTGTTTAGACTTTTTTAATTCTCTTTTTTTTATCTTGCCATGAGCATGGGTTATTTGTATAATATGGGAATAGACAATAGAAATGGAAAGGAGGCCCTGGCTGGTGTGGCTCAGTTGGTTGGGCATTGTCCCGTGCACTGAGAGGTTGCCAGTTCGGTTCTTGTGGGCTTGACTCCCCAATTGGAGCACATACAGGAGGCAGCCAATCGGTATTTTGCTCTCACATCGATGTTTCTCTCTCCCCCTTTCTCTAGAGTTCAATTTAAAAAATATATTTTAAAAAAAAAAACGGAAAAGAGAGGCACCACAAATGGTAATGGGCAGGCAGCTGGCAGCCACTGGAGTGAAGGAAGGCAGAGGGACTCGGCACCTGGATTGCTGTCACTGTAAGAGCCAAACACCAATTTCCCCATTGCTCCCTTTGGCTGCTGACCTGGTTCCCTTGTTCAGGAATAGTAATTACCCTGGACAGATCTCTGCTTTCTGCTTATGGGGCAGAGCCATTTTAATAATTCCAGAGTAAACTATTGGGTGAGATCCTCTGCTCACTTTGCTGTCTCCTCAGTCTAAGGCTCTTGGCTCTCCTCCTTGACACTGCAGACGCTCCCCAAGCCAGGTCTATGCATAAACTCAAATTCAGGGACCTCCAAAGCTCACTATTAACTTCTTTCTCTTTTAAAAAAATAAGTTTTTATTGATTTCAGAGAGGAAGAGAGAGAGAAAAACATCGATGAGAGAAACATTGATCAGCTGCCTCCTGCATGCCCCCTACTGGGGATCAAGCCCTCAACCCGGGCATGTGCCCTGATGGGGAATCCAACCTGTAACCTACTTGTGCATGGGGAGCTCTACCAACTGAGCCACACCGGCTGGACTAGCTTTTCTTTTCAAAGACCTCGTACGGAGATGTTCATTTGAATGGGGTTAGGGCATTCTGTCAGCCGACAGACATCTAAACCTGAGGCCAGGAATTTGTTCTTCTGATGAACCCATTGCACCTGTACCTCAGCAGGGAGCAGCAGCCAGAGCAGCTAAGACATGGGGCCCAGGTGAGAGCTCTGGACAGATACCACTAGGGCAAGTGCCAACCACGGGGGGCGGTATAGTCTCTGCTATCCAAAGCCCGAACTCTGATTAAATAAATACTTGCCTATTGATTGGGTACCTGGACAATGGAGCAGTAAGCAGTGGCTTGGGGCACCTTTAATCCTCCATCCAAAATCTGCACTTTCTGATGTGTAATATTGACAGTGTTTCTCAATCTTATATGTAAAGTCCTTGCAAATACAGCTCCAAGCCCCACCCTCTCCAACTGGACTATTGTTCCTAAGTACTCTCTTTGCAGAAGTTTCAGCTCCTTCACTGGTGCCTATGAGGGGAAGTGAGGAGCCCATAGTGATGGGGAACCTGAAGGTGATCTCTGGTACCTGACAGCTTTTCTTGGCTTCTGGCTTTTCCCCTGAGGCATTGTCAATGTGCATTTTTCGGAGGGGCCAGATTAGAGAATGCGACAGCCCCAGTGGAGACTCCTGTTTCCAAGGGCCAGTTCCAGCCCTATCAGTGAACCAGACTAGATGCTCTGACCACCCATTCCACATGCTCTGCTCCCCACAACCGTGGCCTCTTACCTTCCTGGGGTCACTGAGCCAAGGACCCTGCTGGAGCTCACACTGATGGTGGCGGAGATGTCAGTTCTCTAGAAAGCAAAAGGACATCACCCAGATTCTCAGGCTAAGTAGGCATCGTGTTGGCTCCCAGTCCAGGAGACAAATCTCCGGAAATAGAAACCACGGCCAGATGTGGGACTTAGGAGGAAAAGGCAGCTACTCAAGGATTATGGACTGAGGATGCAGGATGTTGGTGGCTCCATAGCTAACTTTAAGAAAGGTGAGCTAAGATTTCTGAGGTTTCCATCATTTTAGAAAATTGCTGGAAGCAAATTCTGGCAGGACATAATAAAATGCAAGAAGTTCATCAAAAGGCTGATGAGCCTTGGGACTTCAGCAGGGCTGAAGATTTGCATATATTATTGCCTGCTACCAGGCAGCCGAAGGCAGTTCCCCCAACCTGATAATCTTTTACTGTTTACCAAACCTTACCTTTGATATGTACATCTGCTTTGCTATAGGGCAAAATGTGTGAATAAAAAGCCCTGGGTCCTGAGATTCAGGGAACTTAGTTACTAAAGCTAAGCCTCCCTTGGTTCCCCCCAAATGCCTCCCAAATTTATATTTCATGTCTAGTCTCTTTATTAATTTGCATCACAGCCCTTTCTCCAGATTCCTGAACCCTAGCAGATGCGGATAAGACCCCGGGAAAAAATTATTATTATTATTTTATTTATTTATTTATTTGAGGGGGGATGGGGAGATAGAAAGAGAAATCCATTTGTGTGTGCTTTTGTGTTAATCCTCACCCGAGGACATGTGTCCATTGATTTTTTTTGTAGAGAGTGTAAAGGAGGGGAGAAACATCAACATGAGAAAAACACATCAATTGATTGTTTCCCTGTATACAGCTGGGGGTTGAGCCTGCAACCAAGGTACGTGCCCTTGGCTGGAATCAAACCTGGGATCCTTCAGTCTGCAGGCTGATGCTCTATCTACTGAGCCAAACCATCTAGGGCTGAGGTTTCCATCTTAATGGAAGCATAAAAAGGGGGCGAATAAGCACTGTCTGGTGTGGCTCCATGGTTAGAACGTTGCCCCTTGAACCCAAGGGTCTTGGGTTTGAATCATGGTAAAGAGCATGTACCTAGATGGCGGGTTTACTCACTGCCCCTGGTCAGTGCATGTGTGGGAAGCAACCAGTCAATGTGTGTGTATCTCTCTCTCCCTAACTCTCTCTGAAAAGCTATGGGGGAAAAATATCCTCAGATGAGGATTAACACACACACACACACACACACACACACACACACACGAAACAAAAAAGAAGAAGAAGGGGTAATAAGCCCAAACTAGACTCAGAGTATTCGAATTGGGAGACTGCCCCTATAAGAATGACTTTGGAGCAGACTATCAAGGAAGTTCAGAGAATCTCTGAGCCCTTGTCAGATACTGAGCTCTTGTCAGATATATGATTTGCAAATGTTTTCTCTGATTCTGTGGGCTGTCTTTTCACTTCCTAGAATGGTGGTATTGAAAGGACAGAATGGGACTGATAGCTGTGTCCCTGACCCCTCTTCCAAGAAAAAGCCACAGAATGTATCAGTTACTCAGCCTGCCCTTATCTCAGCCAATAGGAATGCAAGGGGAACAAACCCAAGGCCAAAAGTATGCTGACCACCCCCCTGTCTTTGTGTAACCAGACCCTAGCAACACCCTGCCCTTGCATCACTAGCCCCCAGCCCTCACTCAACCAACCGGAATCGGCCAAATCAGTGGTCTGAGTGAGCCCTCACCCCCCCCCCCCACCCCAAGCCCTATAAAATCTTTGTTCTTTTGAGACTCGGGGCTCTCTCGCATCCTGCCACTGCGTCGGTGGAGGCAGAGGGACCGAGCTCAGCTTGAATAAAGGCTCTATGCTTTTGCATCGGACTCGGCTCCTTGGTGGATCTTTGGGGGATCTTGAAATCTGGGCATAACATTATCCTTTAAAGTACAAGCTTCTAAGTCTGATGAACTCCAATGTACCTATTTTTTATTTTGCTGCTTATGCTTTTGAGTTGATCTGAGAAGGCTCTGCCTAACCCAAGGTCATGAAAATTTATTGCTATATTTTTTTCTGAGAGTTTTATAGTTTCAGATCTCACATTAGGTCTATGATCCTTTTGGAGTTAATTTTTGTGTATGGTGGTCTGGCTTCATTCTTTTGCATGTGGATGTACAGTTGCCCCAGCACCATTTCCTGCAAGTCTGTTCTTCCACATTTAATTGTGTTGGTTCCCTTGTTGAAAATCAATTGACTATAAATATGGGGAATTAATTCTGGATTCTTAATTCTATTCCATTGATCTATATATCTGTCTTTGCACAGTACCATACTATCTTGCTTAATATAGCTTTATAGTACATTTTGAAATAGGAAAGTATGAGTTATGCAACTTTATTTTTCTTTTTCAAGATGGTTTTGGCTATTTTGGGTCCCTTGAATTTACATATGAATTTTGGAATCAGCTTGTTATCTGGCAAAAAAGCCAGCTGGGATTTTGATAGATGTTATGTTGAATCTATAAATCAACAGCAAGAGTATTGCTATTTTAAGAGTTCTTTAAATTTTATATCTTCTTTAAAAATATAATTTGATGACTTTCATTTATAACAATTTAAATAGGGTTATGCTTTAAACGATTTTTTATAACAAACATAGCAGTGAGAAAGCTAAAATTTTCAACTCAGCTGGAGTGAATGACTTTTAAGGTTTCTTGAAACTCTGATATTAACTACTAGAGGCCCAGTGCACGAAATTTGCAGTCCTCTCGCAGTCCGGAACCCCTCGGGGGATGTCCAACTGCCGGCTAGAGGCCCTCTCACAATCCAGGATCCCTCGCTCCTTACTGCCCGCCTGCTCACTCCTTACTGCTCAGCTCACTGCTCCTTAGCACTGCCGAGGAGGCGGGGGGAGGCTCCCACCACTGCCGCTGTGCTCGCCAGCTGAGAGCCCAGCTTCTGGCTGAGTAGCGCTCCCACTGTGGGAGCGCACTGACCACCAGGGGGCAGCTCCTGCGTTGAGCGTCTGCCCCCTGGTGATTAGTGCGCATCATAGCAACCGGTCCTTCTGGTCATTTCACCTTAATAGTCGCTTAGGCCCGTGGTCGGCAAACTGCGGCTCTCAAGCCACATGCAACTCTTTGGCCCCTTGAGTGTGGCTCTTCCTAAGCCTTAGGAGTACCCTAATTAAGTTAATAACAATGTACCTACCTATATAGTTTAAGTTTAAAAAATTTGGCTCTCAAAAGAAATTTCAATCGTTGTACTGTTGATATTTGGCTCTGTTGACTAATGAGTTTGCCAGCCACTGGCTTAGGCTGTTATATATAGAGGTATAGAGGCCCTGGGGAAGCCTGGCGTTCAGATCAGAATTGCAAGGCCCACTTATACCTCCAGTGGAAGTAAATAGCCTCCAGCATCTATCAGCTGTGCAGCCTCCTAGTCTTTCCGCTGAGGGAGGGGCTTACACCCATGGCAGACATAACCCTTTGCTGCCCCAGCCGGAATAGACTTACCGCCCTGAGTTGGAAGAGTGGCTTGCGGTTAGAAGAGTTGGGCAGGAGAGCGAATGCCTGGATGTTCATCACTGGCATGCAGGTAACATTTCCAGGGGTGAACATCAAGAATGGAGCTGATTCAGGTGACATCTCAAGTTCTAGCTCTGTATTGGGGTACAACCTGGCCAGCTGGAGAAAGAGGGCAGAGACTCAGGGGAGGGCAGAACACAAATGGAGGGACTCTGGCTCAGTCTCTAAGGGCCTGAAATCAGCAGTGGAAATATCTCAGGATGGAGAAACTTGTATTTTCCAGAACTCCTTTTCAATAGATGGCTGTGTGGTTGGAAAGGGCACTCGGGTTAAGTGTGTGAGATGGGTGAGACACCCCAATGGGCATGTTCCAGTAAGAACAGATGGTTGCCTAGCTGGTGTGGCTCAGTGGTTGAATGTCAACTTATGAATTAGGAGATCACGGTTCAATGCCTGGTCAGGGCACATGCCCAGGTCACGAACTCGATCCCCAGTGTGGGGCATGCAGGAGGCAGCTGATCAAGAGCCACAAAGTTTCGATCGCACTGTACGTGCGCGCCCGCACATGGTATTTTGTGGAAGAGCCACACTCAAGGGGCCAAAGAGCCGCATGTGGCTCACGAGCCACAGTTTGCCGACCACTGGCCTAGGTCAAGAGGCTTGCCTTGTCCTCTATGATGAGTAGGCAGAGATCTTACCTGAGGAATCACAGCCCCCAGTGATTTGGTGTGCAAGTGAGTTGGAAAGTCCAGGGGACTCTGCAACAGAAGAAGCAGGGAGTTGCTTAAGAAGCAGGACATCGTGGCGATGAAAGGCCTGGTCTCAGAGGCCAGACAGCTTGGGTTCCACCATTCTTTAGCTGAGTGGTCTCTGAGAAACTCGGTTAGGTTCTGTATCTGTAAAATAGGGATGATAATAATGGCACTTGCTGTACAGACTGTGCAAGGATTAAATGAGATAGTATGTGGAGAAAGCACCAAGTGCAGTGCCTGGAACATATTAAATGTACTTAATAAATGCCTGTTACTGTTATTTATTATTTTTCAGGATGATCCCCTAAAAGACCAATGAGGACTGATCACCACCACAATCTGGATTTAGTGAGCTTCCAGATACAGCTTCCCCCAAAATCTGTTTCTCACCATCTCTTGTGGTGTCATTCTCTACCCACCTCATGACTTGCTGATCTTTCAGCTTGGGGAACCCTGCCTACACCTGTTCTTAGCCAACCTTCCATCATCTCTCCTCCCTCAAGATCCCCACTCTCTACCTGGGCAGCTCCTATAGCACTTATCACTGCATAGGCTCTGGAGCTGTGCTGCTCAGAACTCCCTTCAGGGGGGTCAGCAGAGAGGAGGGCAGCTGGCTGCCACTGCCTCACATTCAGGCCCCACACCATTCACACCTGAGGCGCGCTCTCCCAGGCGGCTCCAGCCCCTGCGGAGCATGGCTGGGGTGGTAGAGCTGGAGAATTTTGTCAGATCACTGCCAGGATTCGAAGTGGTAGTATAAGCAAGAGACCAACAGGAAAAGGTGCTCCCCGACCCCCATTGTCCATTTTCCCCTGTGGCATGGCATCTTCGAGGGTCAGATGTGCCAATGCAGATGGGCTGGGGGGTCATCTTACTGCCAAGGGAGCCCTGAACAAAAGGCCCCTGATGTTCTGTGGACTGAGGGGGAAGAGGTGGAGGAGAAAGGGAAGGGCCCCAAGCAGAAGAGCATTGAGTACTGAGGCTGAAGAAAACTGTCTTCGAGTCCTCCAGGAAGAGTCTCATCGGAGGCACATGAACTGTCTTGGCTGAGGTTCCCCTCCTCCCCCACCCATAAGGAGACCTCTGAACGGAGGTGTCTAGACCAGGAATGCTGATATGCCAGCCTCTAGCGGGAGTCGGGCAGGGCTTGAGCTGAGACTGACAAGCACTGGCCCTGCCCCAGTGTAATCGCCTGTGGTCAGGTCTGAAAAAGCACATGGTACCACATCGCATCATAGTCTGGGGGCTCTCCCACTTCCTCCTCCTCCTCTCTTTTACCCTTCACAGGTGTTTCCCTAATAAAACTCTTATAAGTCTAATGCTGTCTTGGCATCTGCTGCTCAGAGAACCTGTTCTGACACGCCAGAGTCTGTCTGATTTTTGTAAATTCCTGCTAATCATAGCTACTGTGTATTGTGTGACAGACACAAGCTCTTTACAAGCTCTCATAGAACCCCTGGGGGTCCATGTGCACACGCAGGGAAACTGAGGCACAGCCTGGCTTGGCACTCATGTTGGGCAGGCTCCAAGTTCCACATTCTTCCCCTAGCTTCCCAGGACACCCAGAGTGGGTGTCAATGTGAGAGAAGCATTGATGCTCTCTCCTGGACCCCCATCCTCCTCCATCCCCTACTCACGTCCTCATTTCGGATGGTGAAGTTCATGTGCCCAGCCTGGTGGTAAACCCGGCTGGCCGTGTTGAAGACATATTGGGACACTGCAAAGTAGGCCATGCGGTCATGCTGCTGGGGTAGCCTGATGGGAGGAGCATCAAAGGGGACTGGGGAGTGCTGGCTTCGGCCAAAGAATTCACCCTGGAGACAGAAGGACATATCAGTCACCCAAGGTTCCTTCCAGAGAGGATGTCAGGCAGAGACATCCAAAGCCTGCCTGGGGAAGGCCTCCTGTGCCTGGGGGAGGCCTCCTATTCCTGGGAGGTGGCTAGGGTTGGGAAGGGAGGTAGCGGGGGGGGGGGGGGGGGGGGGGAGGGCGCAGTTTCTCTCCAGAATGTGTGGTCAGGGGTCCTGAAATATTCCCTCTGGCGCCACAACATCTAGGTCCTGACAGCTGCCTGAAATCCCTCTTTTGGTGGGGAGATACATCCTGTGTTCACTCAGGCTCAGGACATAGGACAGGAGGCCCAGCCAGTGGTGAAAAGCATGGACTCTGGAGCTTAACAGTATGGGTTGGAGCCCTGGTCTGCCACTTGCTGACTCTGCAACCTCAGGCAAGTCGCTAACTGCCTGTGCCTCAACTTCCTCACCTGTGAAATGGGGATGATGCTAAAAGTTTTTACTTCGTGGAGGTAATATGAAATTTAAAGAAGTTAATATTGAACAGCATCTGGGACATAGTAAGAAGCACATACGTGTTAGTTAAAGAAATAAGGTTGGAGGGCGTGGCACTCCAGGGCCTGGCTCAACCCACGGGGGAGTTGTGGAAGAGACCGGTATGAAGAGGGGGTGTCCTGGTTTCCTGCGGCTGCCGTAATAACTTCCTTAATTTTAGTGGCTTAAATCAGCACAGATTTATTCCCTTACATTTCTGGAGGTCGGAAGCCTAAGCTCAAAATGTTATTATGGCTGGACTGCTTCTAGAGCAGGCGTGGGCAAACTTTTTGACTCGAGGGCCACAATGGGTTCTTAAACTGGACCGGAGGGCCGGAACAAAAGCATGGATGGAGTGTTTGTGTGAACTAATATAAATTCAAAGTAAACATCATTACATAAAAGGGTATGGTCTTTTTTTTTTTTTAGTTTTATTCATTTCAAATGGGCCGGATCCGGCCCGCGGGCCGTAGTTTGCCCACGGCTGTTCTAGAGGCTTCAAGGGTGAATCTGCTTCCTTGTCTTTTCTACCTTCCAGTGGCCACCTGCATGCCTTCTTTTTTCTACCTTCCAGAAGTCCCTCCGTTGCATCCCCTCTTGCTTCACTCCAGTTCGTGCTTCCATTGTCACATTGCCTTCTGTCTCTTATCTACTACCTCCCTTTTATAAGGATTTCCGTGATTACAACAGGCCAGGATAATCCTGTCATCAACACCCCTAATTTAATCACACCTACAAAATCCCTTCTGCCAGGTAAGGGAAAGTTGTTTTTTTTTTTAATGCTCACCCGAGGATATTTTTCCATTGATTTTAGAGAGAGTGGAAGAGAGAGAGAAAGACAGAGAGAAACATCAATGTGAGAGAAACATATCAATTGGTTGCCTCTTGCATGAGCCCTGACCAGGGCCCAGGCCAGGGAGGTGCCTGCAACTGAGGTACATGCCCTTGACCAGAATCAAACCCAGGACCCTTCAGTCCACAGGCCGATGCTCTATCCCCTGAGCAAACTGGCTAAGGCTGTAAGGTAACATTTACAGATTTCAAGGTATAGGACATGCCCATTGATCCCCTCCAGCCTGCCCCCGCCCCACGCCCCAGGCCTTCACCATCCTATTATCTGTGTCCATGGGTTATGCATATATGCATACAAGGTCTTTGGTTGATCATTTCCCACCCACACACCCTCCCCTGCCTTCCCTCCGAGATTCCACACTCTGTTCCAGGACATGGACATTTTAGAGAGCCATTCTTCAGGCATGGGCAGATAGTGATAACAATGCTACCCTATACATGTGCTATGTGCCAGGCACTTGCTAAGTAAGCACTTCATACACATCTCACTTAATTCCTATGGCAACTTTATGGGGAAGACTATTACTATTCCAATGTAATGGAGAGGTTAATTCTTACAAGGTTCCCCACCACATAAGGGATAGAGCTAGGATTCGAGTTTAGCTCTCTCTGAACTCCAGAGAGATTTACCACGTTGGCTCAGAAACCTTGTTTTAGGTTTTGCTCTGCAGTGCTGAGGATCACATCTGCCCACTGTGGGCCCTGGTCAAGGATGTGGACTGACAGGCAGGTGGACTGGAGAGGGAGGGTAGGAGCTGACTCTGAGAGGTGGAGCTGATTTCCTGCCCGTTCTCAGCTCCAAGACCCTTTACCCACAACCCCTTACCTTGAAGGGCGTGTCCAGGCCTTGGGAGGTCACCTGGGGAGCTCCTACTAAACTGTAGTCAATGCCAGCAACCTGGTCAATCATCAAGGTGACTATGGAATGGGAAAGAGGCAGCATTGTGAACAGTGGCTAAACACAATTGTGCAAATTCTATACTGGGAACTCCTTTCATAGGGACTGTAGCCTTTGGAGAAAGGAAATGGGCTGGGGCATATCCATGTATCTTCTGTCACAGAGAGTACTTCATTCATTCATTCATTTGTTGATTCATTCATTAATTCAGTGTTTACTGAGCGTAAGTCCAGAGGAGGAAATAATCAAATACGCAAGGAAATAAATGTTCAATTGCTAGTATGTTAGATGTTAAATAGAAGTCCATAGGATGGTGCCAGCCATATAATAGGGGGTAAAGTGACTCGCACAGGGAGTCAGGGAAGACTTCCCAGAGGAGGCGTTGCTTTGGCTGAGATCTGAAGGAACAGCAGGTGTTGCCTGGTGAAGGCGGGTAAATGTGGAGAAAGGCACTGGCAGAGGGAATGGTATGTGCAGAGATCCTGCAATGTTATGGAGAACTGTATATTAGAGGGATGACTAGGGACCAGAGTGGCTGGCTGAGTCAGGGAGGGGAGCAAGGTAAAGCTGAAGACAGTGCTGCGGTGGCCTTGTCCCCCACAGCTGGCCCATTTTTCTGAGAGTCGGAGTCTTTGATAGATTTCAAGAAGAGGGGGAGACCTGACCTGATGTGTGATTGTAAAAGGTACCTGTGTCAGCCAGAGGGTCAGGGCTAGGAGGGTTTCCAGCCCTGCACAGGGAGGCCAGAGCAGCCCTGTTTGTAAAAGCAAACACATGATTCTCCCACATATTCCTAATTTTCTGCCCACCTTGTGCTCCCAGCAGGTTTGTGAGTCACCACCCTTAATCACCTTACTCCCCCACCTCAGAGAACAGACCCCCCCCCCCCAAGAGGTGGTCATCCCATATCTAACTCTGTAAGATGGAGAGATACCTAATGGGGAAAATTCTCCCAGGGCTCTTGTGGGGGGGGGGGATGGTTCCAGGGCTACTGGGTGCCATGACATTTGATGGCACCCGAGAAGTGAGGGGGCTCCTAACCTGGCAGAGTCCGGAGATAGGGCTCCAGGTGTGAGGATGTCGACGTCCTGATGATTTCGCAGATCTGCCGAGAAAGTGGGTGAGAAAGTCAGGCAAGTCCTTCCTTCCCCCTCCTCTCACCTCCTCCATTCTAGGAACTGTGTGTTATATCCCCACCTTGTAGGTAGGTATGTGAGGGGAGGGAGAGAATATGTTGAAAAGGGAGAAGAGACCACTACCCCCATCAACACCTGGTTATTGTCCCACTTGGGCTGGCCTCTCAGACAGATGGGTCCAATTTAAGTTCCTAGAACCCAGTTACAGCGGATGGTGGTCAAGTCAGCACTGCCCTAGGGTCTACCACTGTCAATGGTTTTCTGGCAGCTGAGTGGCAAGCAATGTAGTACATAAAGGCTGATATTAGACAGTAGAGGGACAAAGCAGAAGAGCTTCTAGGTACAAGAGGCAGCTCTTGAATTAGAGGTTCCGCAGCCCCATCTCCCAACCTCTTTGCCTCCTTTACCTATTGGGGTTTCTGTCATCAGCGAATCTGTCAAGGAGCATGGTGCCTGGTCTGTGGGCAGTACTAACTATGGCCACCAGAGGGCTCCAAAGTAAAGCCAGAGGGAGGGTCTGCTCCAGAATTGTATTCCTCAGTAGGCCAATTTACTCCTCTGTAAGCCAAGAATTACAGCTTGGGAGATCCCAGAAGGCTTTAGTCTTGTGATTTCCAAATTCCAGCTATTCCTACTCCATCTCTGATGCTCCAGGATGTGTGTCGATTTGTTCAAATATACACAAAGGGTAAATGTAAGAGGTACCTCTTTGCCTCCAAGGCCAAGGCCTTTTCCAGAGGTGAGAGATACTGAGGGCCAACTCCAGTGCGGTTCTCAATATGATGCCTTTTTTTGAGGGGGTAGTCTTATTTAAAAAACATTTTCCTATCCTCAAGGTGAGAAAGATATCCTAGGTCAGCCGTGGGCAAACTACGGCCCGCGGGCTGGATCCGGCCTGTTTGAAATGAATAAAACTAAAAAAAAAAAAAAAGACCATACCCTTTTATGTAATGATGTTTACTTTGAATTTATATTAGTTCACACAAACACTCCATCCATGCTTTTGTTCCGGCCCTCCGGTCCAGTTTAAGAACCCATTGTGGACCTCGAGTCAAAAAGTTTGCCCACCCCTGTCCTAGGTTTATCTACTAAAAAGTTTTTGATTTGTTTTGGCATTTAAATCCTTAGACCATTGGGAATTGATTTTTGTGTATGGTGTGAGGCAGGGATCCAAAGCCACTTCTCCATATCTCTCTAGTATTATCTACAACTAGATATCAAACACTGTCAGTTTCAAAGGCCAATTTAGCATATGTGATCATTCACACTGGGGAAAGCCTTGATGTTTGCCTTTGCACCACAAATGAGTAAGGTTGTTTTAAGAAAATTCAAATGGTAACCTACTTAAAAGACAAGACTGTTTCCAAATATCAAATATGCACCTGTCAATGATTTTTAATGGAAAATATACTTATCCTTTCTTTACCTCTTGTTTCAAGATATCTTTTAACTTGTTTTCAATTCTTTTATGGAAGAGGTTCAGGAGCCAGCTGAAGAAAAGAGGAAAGAGGGTCAGGATCCACTTTACAATGAACTGAGATTTCCAAGAAGAGGGCTACCCATAGATTTAAACTTCCCCATGTTATCCCAAGAAGATCGCAGCCAGGTGAATTTAATCCAAGGGTGGGTGACCCTTGGATACTGACATACTCTCACCTTTCAGACTGGCAGAAAGCTAAATCTTTGATAATATGCTGTATTGACAGTAATGGGGGGAAACAGACACCAACTAGCAAACCACGGCAAGGGCAATTTGTTAGTATATGTTAAAATGACAAAATGCACATACCATTTAAATATTTATTCTATAACTTATTTGTCCAGATGCCAAATAATATTATGCACAAGGTTATCCTTTGTAGCATTGTTTGTAGTAGCGAAAGACTGGAAGAAAACCCCTTACACTAAAAATAGAAGTCAATCAATAGAGGACTAATTATTACTATTATTTTAGTGTCTTCATACAATGGAGTACTTTGAAAAGGAAGCTCTTATGTTCAGGTGTGGAAGAGCTTACAAAGACATAGTGAAGTAAGGCGAGCTAGGGATATACCACTCTCTGTACTATAGCATGCTACCAATTGTGTTAACATAAAGTAGTAAAATATATAAGTGTTCAGACATAGACACTCAGGAACGAGACATTAGACACTTAATATTGGTTGCCCTGGCAAAGAGAGTTGGTTGTTTCACTCTGTACCCTTTGCACTTTTTGAATTTTGAACTATGCAAATGAACTCAGAAGCATTTACATTTTTAAGTTATAATAAGGAGAGTAAGACCTAGTCTTTGTACCCTGCAAAATCCACCATACAACTTATCTGGCCACTTAGCAATTAATCATTCACTCATTTCTTCATTTGGCAAACGTGCACTGAGCCCCTTCTACCTGCTAAGGGAGGTGTGGAGGGACATTGCTGAATAACCTCATGGTGCTCAGGCTGTGAGTCTAACCCACTTCAGGTAAAGCTGCCCACCGAGGTCCCCTCCCAATCACAGACACCGCTCTGTGAGAATCACGGCCCCGAACAGAGCCTCTCACACTGTGTTCTCACCTGGGGGTGAGGGTGAGAGGTTGAGGGAAATAAGTGAACTGCGTTAGTGGAATTACTTCCAGCAAAAATTTTTCTCCCATAAAGTTTTCTTGACCGTTCGATGCTTGCTGATTGGATGATTAGTGGTATGTATTAGAAATGTGTGTATTATAAGTTGATGTGGTAGCATTAGACACAAGAGCTTCCTGGGGTTCTGCAGGTAACATCCTGGGGTTGACACGTACAGATTCATCTCTCAAGCCTTCTGGCTCTCTGGCTTCTAGTTGTTTTGGCCAAAGGGATAAACAGGTAGGAAAGAGAGAGGAGTTGGGATATTTACACCCAGGTCCCTCCGCCTGCTGTCCCACTATATTCCTGTCTCAGAGCTCTTTTCCAAGGTTCCAGCTCTTTCCAGGCTCTGGAAACACCCTTCCCTTCCTCTTACCTTCAACCCTAGGGGTGGTAGTAGCTCCCTGCTGGTGCTAGTTTCCAGTGAATATTCTCTTCATTAGATTCTTGGCAGTTAAGCCTTTTGAGTTGCCCTCTGTTTCCTGCCAGGATCTGAGTGATGCAGTGCAACCAGAACAGAGTGGGGAGGCAGTCACCATCATCCATTCGGTATCCACTGAGCATCTGCTCCAGGCACATAGCTTTGAGATGCTGGGTTTCCCCTAAAGGCAGTCTTGCAAGAGGTGAGCAAACTTTCTTAAAGGGCCAGATAGTAAATATTTTTGGCATTTGCATGCTGCATGGTCTCTGTTGCAACTACTCAACTCTGCTAACATAGTGCTAAAGCACCCAGAGACAAATGCAAACAAATGAGCATGGTTGTGATCCAATGAAACTTCATCTACAAAAACAGGTGGCCTGCTGGATTGGGCCCACAGACTTTAGTTCACTGACCTCTGATCTTTTGTTTTTTTAATCTTCACTGGAGGATATTTTTTCCCATTGATCTTTAGAAAGAGAGATTGGAAGGGAGAGAGAGAGAGAAACATTGATGTGAGTGAAACACATCGACTGGTTGCCTCTCACGTGTGCCCTGACAGGGATTGGGAATCAAACCCACAACCCTTCAGTCCATGGGCTGGTGCTCTAACCACTGAGCACACTAGCCAGGGCTGACCTCTGATTTTGATGAATCTTAAATCTTGCTCTTCTGTGGGACATCCTGTGGGCAAGCTGGATGCTGAGGCAGTTCTGACAATTTCCAGCAAGTGTATGGGGTGACTTACCTTAGGTTTCCAGAAATGTGAATGCTGACGTGGCCAACGGAGTTGCTGCAGTGGGCCACAGAGGCAGTGGGTCGTCCAGACCCGTCCTCACCCAAGTTCAGATAAACCGAGATGGAAACACCATCCACACTCAGATCAAAAGTACCCTGTAGGGTGCTGGTTGGGAGAAATAAGAACCAAATGGTGAATAATCAGTGGCCTCCAGAACAGGAGCCAGAAGAACTCAGATCCAGGCGTATCTCTTAGCTCCCCATTAACCAGCTGCGCATCCTACCTGAGCCCTGGTGACCTAAAAATCGAAAGGCCTTTCAAGGTGAGAGGCAACAAACATTTATTTGAGGTCAATAACAATAGCTACTCAGGAAGCATTGATAAGGCAGAAACCCAAGTAATGTTTCAATCAGGAGACAAAGGCAATGGGTATTTGTGAGAAAGGGAAGGGCAACAACCATGTCAATGGAAGGAAGGCATTTCTATTAATGAAGCTGTAACGTCGTGATAGTCATTCTAAATGCTGTTTTTAATTTTAACTCCAGGAGTCATCAGTCCAGTAGTCATGTATCTACTGTCTTGTTATCTTTGCAAACAGTTCTTTGGGGCACAGGATTGTTTTAGACTTGGTGCAAAGGTTATTTTGCCTGATTTTAACATTCCAAAGGTTTGAGACATAAGACATGCAAGGCAGTTTTTCTGACATGGCAGCTCCGGCTCTATTTTCAAGTGGCTCCATTTATATTATTTTGACAGCCTCTTCTTACCACTGACTAAGACAGCCAGTGTTTACTGAGTATTTGCCATGCGCCAGGCACACTGCAAATACCTTACATCTGCTATTTTATTTAATCCACAAATGCATCTGGGTTGGGTTATAATTAACCCTATTTTACAGACAATGAAACTGAAGCTTAGAAATAATCAGATCTGGGCCCTTTATAGATTGGACGTTTAAGAATCCAGAAATGGAAGTCCAGAGTAGGACATGCCCTTGCCCAGAGCTGAGAGATACCCTAACCCAAGTACTACTTACATGAAAGCCTTTTTCACCTTCCAGTTCCCACTGATAGACACGTAGTTATTGGACAGGGAGGCTCTGACACCCCTCCCTGGAAGTAGACTCAGATCGGAGTTTCGGATTTGGAAGCTACGGATTCTCAGGCTAGGGAAGGAAGGCAGACTATTAAATCCAGAAAAACTAGGGTCACATCAGTCCTCTGAATGAATCCCCAGAATCCTCTCCAGACTCTCACACTCTCTTTCTGATTTATTGACTTAAACTACATAGGACAACCAAACCATTGCACTCACATCCTACGAGGTCTGCATGGGCTTTCCCTCCTCCAGGAAGATTTCCCTCGAGACCCAAGACCTTCCTCTTGTCTGTGACACCTACCTCCACTAGCTGCTCCTCCTCATTAACTTCTGTCGTGCTCACTTGACCCTCACCACTGCGAGGACCCTGTGAGCTGGCTTTGCATTATGTGCCCTGTCTCCAGGAGGCAGCTTCCTCTCTCTGCTCCCCACACTTCAAATACAAATAAGGCTCACAATTTAGGTCTGAGATCACGCCCTGGTGATCTGTGGGCCAAACATATGATCAATATGCTGCACTGAATGTTTTCCTATAACGTTCTTAACAATTTGAATCAGTTGCCAACATTTTAAAATGAGGACATTTCCTTGTAAACATATGAGGAAAAACAAAACTAAACTAAAATTCTGTTTTCTCTTGAAAAAGTCAAAAGCCCTGGCCAGTGTGGCTCAGTTGATTGGAGCATTGTTCTGTGCACTGAAGGGTTGTGGTTTCAATTCCTGGTCAGGGCACATACCCGGGTTGTGTATTCAATCCCTGGTTGAGGTGCCTGTGGGAGGCAATAGATAGATGCTTCTCTCTCACATTGTTGTTTCCGTCTTTCTCTCTCCCTCCCCCTCCCTCTCTCTTCCTTACCCTTCCTCTCTCTCAAATCAATTAAAGAAAAGAAAAAAAAAGTTAAAAGGGATTGTTCTTATTTCCTTACAGCATCAATCAACTACAGTGCATAACAGCTGCCCCCTTTAAATGGGGCAGATGCCCTCCAGACAAACATCACACTTATAATTTGCCTATTTGCTCTCAGGTTCATTCTCTTGCTCTTGCTCTGACCTATAGTGGATGTGACTGACCTCTGAAAACTACATTTCCCAGGATCTTTTGCAACTGACTTCTAGTTCGGACTGGCTCCTGCTGGACATGCTCTTAACTCCTACTTTGAAGCCCTAGCTGCTGTGCTCTGTTGATACCTTCCTTCTCTTTGTCTTGCCCGCTCTGGGTCTGTTAATAACTTTTTGTGGTTGCTAATTTCTGGGTTGCTTCATCATTCCCTATTTGGCTTTTCAGCTCTTTTATTAAATTCCCTCCATTGAAGTTCCCTCTTTCCCACTGATCCCCACCCACTGCATATAGTCACTCTGCCTGGAATACTCATCTACATTACCCACTCCCCTGTGGCCACTGGAGTTTATGACTGTTGCCAGATCGATACTTAGGAGTTCCCTCATTGAACATTCATTGAGATCCTGCTCTGTCTGACCTGGCTGTAGGCACAGAGGCCACAGAGATTCAAAACTCAGTCCCTGCCCTCAAAAAGCTCATAGCTGGTGGCAGGTCTGGATGTGTTAACAGACCATAGTAACCTACTGTGGAAACCAGATGTAAGAGGTGGTTTAGGGATACGGGAAGGGGCATTGACCTCTAAATGGCATGGCCTGGACAGTGTGTGTGTGTGTGTGTGTGTGTGTGTGTGTGTGTGTGTGTGCGTGCGCGTAAATTTAAAATAGCTCTTCTTTGCCCACTGTATTCAGGAAATTGTCTCCAGGAAGGATTCCAAGAGGAGCCTTTTCTATCAGTATCCCCAAGGGCTGACTCTGGACACTGAGGAGGCTGGGAAGAAAAATCCATGCAACTAAAGAGTGGATGAAAAAAGAGAAAGGAGCCCAGACAGCATGGCTCAGTGGTTGAGCGTCGACCTATGAACAAGGAGGTCACGGTTCGATTCCCCATCAGGGCATATGCCAGGGTTTCGGGCTTGGTCCCCATTCCACCCTTCGCCCACCCCACCCCCCCATCCCATGCAGGAGGCAGCCAATCAATGATTCTCTCTCATCATTGATGTTTCTATCTCTCTTTCCCTCTCCCTTCCTCTCTGAGATCAATAAAAACATATTGAGGGAAAGAGAGAGAGAGAGGAGTGAGGACTCTAATACTGAATATGTGAAAGTTGGAGGGAGAATAAGGTCAGTTAAGTCTTTGGGGGAGAGAGATGAGGAATCAGAACTTGTTCACCAGGAACCAGGAGGCCCCCTGCTTTATTCCTCACTGGGGATATGTGTGGATGCTGCCCTCAAGAGATGGCATGCAAATAAAATGTGAATAGGTTCCAGAAAGACTCTAAGTCCTTGCTTGCAGACCCCCACCAGGCTCTGGAGGGATGGATGGTTTGTCTCAAGTAGTTTCCTAATCTGGGCAATCAGGAGAGTGCTAGGGATTCCTGGTAGAGGGAAAATCCAGGGCTGACCTAAGGGCTAGTGAAAGATTTCAAAGGGTTTCCCTCCCAGCCTGATGATTCAGGAAACACATAGCATTTTCCAGAGGCCCCATAAGAGCTGTCTATAGTCCTTTTGCCTCTAGTCCAAGTGATGATTCCATGTTTATCTCCCTTGCCCTTGACCTTAGGCCCCATTTTTCCTCCTCCATTGCCCCTGTGGTAAAGAATGGAGACCTCACCTCTTAAACTCATAACTCACACTTCCCATCCAACCGACTTCAAATCTTCCTGATAAATCAGGCACGTTGATGGTGGACAGTTCCTTCTTCAGGGTAGCCATTCCATATTGGCGGGCTGGGGGCACATAGAGGGGGTTAGCTCTTTCAGTGGGAGGTACCAAGCATAACGGTTGAGTGGCCAGGTTAATGCAAGATTTGCCACTTACTGTTGATATAATTTCAAGAAAGTCCCTTAAATTCCATAAACATCAGTTTCCCCACATGTAAATGATAATAATAATAATAATACCAACCTGAGCCTGAGAATTAAATTAGATCATGAACTCAAAGTGTCTGGTAAGTGGCAATCATTGTTACTTATTCATTCAACCAGATCATGGAAGCAATGATGGAATACAATGGGACTTTTGAGGAATCATTCCCCATAGTGTGGTCAAACCTTAGGGTTTTCACCATTGCTTGGACCACATGTCAACAATGCAGATTCTAGGCCCAACATCAGTCAATCTTGAGTAAATCTCCAGAATTGTGCCTCAGCAATTCTAATGTGGGGGCTCCACAGACCACCCAGGAAAAAATGCTGATCTAGTCCTACCCTTAACCTTTGATAATTCAAGATGAGGAAACTGAAGTCCAGAGGGTGACATAGCCAAGGTTTCTAAGCCAGGCAGGGCACACCTGAGATTTAAAAAATCCTGGTTACACCACTTTGATGGGCAACAATGGGCACCAGAGGAATGACCAAACCCACTTACCATATTCGAGGCCTTTTCTGGTGATCCTGACCACAAACCCAGGATTAGAAGCTCCTTCTCCAAGCCTGGAGACCTCTGCTAGCAGCAGTAGGGCCACTACCACACAGTATGGTCTGGCCATCATCTTGTTCTCAGCTTCTTCCTGGGTAGAGGTTGGTCAGAGTCTCTTTGTAGGAGCCTCCCTTACTGAAGGTGACAGCAGAGACTGAGGTGCTTATAAACCCAGGGGCCAGATGGGGAACTGAGCCAGCTGGGAATGAGAGCAGGGAGGAGTCAAGGCTTTGGGGCAGCCCAAGTTTCAGCAACTTGAGATGAGGAGAGGTTGTGGTTTATTTTTGGCCTGAGAGTAGCAAAAATGCTGCTCTAATTTCCAGCTTCTTCCTCTTCCAAGTACTGCTGAGAGCCAAAGGGCCTCCCCACCACACCTGGCTCTAGCTGACACCCTCCATTCATTCCTCATTATCTACAGACTGAAACCTAAACACCCAGCCTCGCAGTGAAGGCCACCACAACTTGGCTGCGATGTACTTCTCCAACCAGAACTTCCACTGCCCAGCCTGCTGAGCCTTCACCCTGGCTTTGCTGGAATCCACTTTTCTCTGCTTATATCAAGGAAGGCCCATCTCAATTCAGTCTGCAAATACAACAAATGGATTCTGCAACTCTAGGCTCCAGAAACTTTTGATGTTCTCTTGCCTACATTGTTTTTCAGTCAACTTATTAAGGTACTAGAGGCCCAGTGCATGAACTTTGTGCACGGGTAGGGTCCCTAGGGCTGGCCGGCGATCAGGGATGATCTGTGGGGCAATCGGTGGAGTAATTGGGGGGCCCCCACTGGTACCTGCCTTGACTGACCTGGGGCCTGTGGGCTGGGGGCAGCTCCTGTGTTGAGCATCTGCCCCCTGGTGGTCAGTGCACGTCATAGCGACCAGTCATTCCACCGGTCGTTCTGCCATTCGGTCGATTTGCATATTAGGCTTTTATTATATAGGATAAGTTGCATTCGATAAAATGCACACATTTTAAATGTACAGTTCAAGGAGTCTTGACACATGTCTACACCCATGTAACCACGTTATAATCAAGGTAAAAAACATTTCTGATATCCCAAGAAGTTCTCTCACGCCTCTTCCCAATCTCCTTTCCCACCTCCTATTCCAGAAAACCGCTGATACATTTCTGTTACCATTTATATTGCCCACTCTAGAACTTCATACAAATGGAACCATCCAGTACATCTGCCCTTCCGACTGGCTTCTTTTATGCAGCATTAGGTTTTGAGACTAATCCATTTGTTTTGTGTATCAACAACTCATTATTTTTTATTGTGGGTAGTACTCTGCACAGTAGTGAGAACAATTCTTTCATTGCATTAAATTTTTAATTTTCTTCAAAGAGGAAATGCATTCATGGTTCAAAAATCTATCGGTCATAATAAGATGTGAAAAATCTCATGCTCATCCCTCTTTTCATCTTCCCAGTTCCTATCTCCTCTTTATCAAATCAACATACAATTCCACTGTGATAAGTGCTAGGAGACATAGAAGGTGCTTTGAGAGTTTATATTCCAGGGCTTATGGGAACACAGAGAGGGAGCAATTAAGATGGTAGAGGTGCTCAAGCTTGGTTTTGAAGTACACGTAGGAGTTTAGCAACTGAGAGAGAGAAGTTATCCTAGGCAAAGAGAATAGCATGAGCCAAGTCATGGAAACCTGAAGGAGTACTGCACATTCCAGAAGGTACAAAGACTTGTGGGAGAGTCAAGGGTGAGGGGTGCGGATGGAGGAGAGGTGGTGGAAGAAGAAGAGGCACAAACATGGGAAGGGATATCCTTTTGAAAGACCTTGTTATTCAGTCCTTGAAGCATAAACATGGAATCATTTTCAGTTTCCAGTAATTGACACTCCCGATGCTGTCTTAAATTCTCCTTTTTTTTTTTCTGAATAGGGGGTTCCCTTCATGACATCTCAATCCTGATTCCATGACTTTCCAGCTGTGTTTGGTTCAAATTAAGATTTGGTCCTGTCCATATCAAATCTCAGTTTCATATTCTTAATGTTTTCCCTCTACCGCCATGCAGGCTTCCATTATTCATAGCATGGAGTGAGCAAGCATGTGTGTTCGTGCATATGCTTGCATGTATGTGTGTACATGTGTGTGTGCAGTGTAGGGATGGTCTTCTCTATCACCTACCTTTCTCTCTTCCCTGCTCTGTTACTGTGCTCCCTGGGGGAGTTTGGTATTCTCTTTGTTTATCTTAGTGCTGGTGAGGTGACCCTTGCTGAGAGTCATTACCAAGCTTGATGTCTGTCAGCTCAGGGTGTGTAAACAGAGCCTCCTCAATTCCAAGCAACTCTAGGCAAAGATCAATCCTTGGGAGAATCATCTTCTACCTGCAATTCCCAATTTCATGACCTCAACCCTAGGCCAGTGGCCAGAACTGAGTTCAGTTTTCCTTTCCTTTGGAAACCAGCACCTCAGGGAGGTGGTCCTTGCCCCTTGTTCATCTGCCCATAACATCCTGTCATCCCTCACCAATGCTCTTTTCCCTGCTCGGGGTCACTAAGGCCACTCAACAAGCCCAGAAACAGCTGATGATCAATTAGGAAATGAGAGGTCAGTCTGCTTGGTGCAGAGCCCCTACATTTCTTGGAGCTGTTCTCTTGGGGGTCCTTCTGCCTTGGCTTTATTTAGGGGAACCAACCAGTAGAGAATGCTTTGCCATATGATGATGTGTGGAAGGGATAGCTGAGGTCTTTCTTTACAATTTCTAGGAAATAATTTATCAGGAGAGGGGTCAGGAGAACAGCAGCAGTTGCAGGATGGAGCAGATCTACATTAAGGAGGCTCACAGGGTTGGACACAAGAATGATTTAGAGCCCGGCCGACATGGCTCAGTGGTTGACCTATGAACCAGGAGGTCATGATTTGTCAGGGCACATGCTGGGGTTGCTGGCTCGATCCCCAGTGGGGGCCGTGCAAGAGGCAACTGATTGGTGATTCTCATCATTGATGTTTCTATCTCTCTCTCCCTCTGCCTTCCTCTCTGAAATAATTTTTAAAATATATATTACTTTTTTTAAAAAAATAATGATTTAGAGAACAGAACATATTGCCTATATTCATGTGCTAGGGCTGCCATAACAGGGTGGCTTTAACAAAAGACTTATTTTCTCCCACTTCTGGAGGGTTGACATCTGAGGTTGAGGTTTTGGAGGCACTGGCTCCTTCTCAGGGCTATGAGGGAAAATCTGTTAATGTCCTCTTCCCTGCTTCTGGTGGTTTGCTGGTAATCTCTGGTATTCCTTTGCTTATAAATGCATCACCTGAATGCTGCTTTCATCTTCACATGTTGTTCTCCCTCTGTGTCCGTCTCCAACATTCCCCTTTTAATAAGAACACCAGTCATATTGACCCATCTTAACTACTTACATCTGCAATGACCCTATTTCCAAATAAGGTCACATTCTGTTAGGCATGAGGATAGCAGTAATGAAGATGCTAAATCTGAGTCATGATTGTTTCTTCGTGAGCTTGGATCTCATCCCCCAAATAGGCATAATACTATCAACTTTGCAGGATTAAATAAGATAATATTTGGAAAGGCATTGAGTGCTGAGCTTGGGCAGTGAGGCAATTCACATTGGGACTGTCCCCTGAGCTGGCTTTCTGAAATATCTTACTGAATCTTACCAGAAACTTCAGATCTTAATAGAAAAGTGAAACCAGTAGTAGAGAAACCTAACTGCAGCTTTCACTTCTTCTTTGGCCAAAACTTGAGGTCAGTTTTTTTGAGGAAATTGTAAACTCATGCTTCTGAATTCAGGAGCTCTGGGCTGAAAAACGTGTCTTCAAGCTTTTTTTATAGCACAATGGGCCCTCCAGGCATCTTGAACATGTCTGATTTAATGTTCCATGAGAATGATATTCCCCCTGCCCTCCACCCAAGCCCCTCTTCTCACACAGACAGGGAACTCACTCCAATCTGTGAACACCTATGGGTGGCCTAGCCTTGGCATTTTTTTCTCTTCCTAGTTGGGACCAATTGACTTCTCTCTTGGGTCAGTACAGATTTTAACCTGCGGCTGTCACTGGTCCTTTACCCAAGCTGTGCCTGTCACTGGTCCTTTACCCAAGCTCAATTCCATTTATCTGCTTCTTCTAGGACTGGGCTGATCCTCGAGCTTACCTGATGAAAAAATATCTTCACAGGCAATAACTGTTCATGATAAAAATGGTACAAATGATACAAAGGTGAAAAGAACTCTTCCTTCCACCCCTGTCTCCAGTCCTCCAGCTCCTTCCCCAGAGGCTGTGTCCTTCTCATGCTTCCAGAAGCACCTGGTGACCATAGGAGCACACCAGGAAACAGGTTCTTACACTTGCTTTCTGCTCTTAACATTAACACTTGGAGATGGCTTCCTGATAAAGAAAAAAGAGTAGATATAAGGGACATTTAGAAACTTAAGAGACTTAAGAGAGCTTGTCTGGGTCCCTATACAAACCAACTAAGTAGGAGAAAACATTTTTGAGACAATCAGGGAAATGCAAACACTGATTGGATATTCTGATGATATTTATGAATTCATATTAAATTTTCAGCTGTGATAATGATATTGTATAAACAATTCTTACTTTTTAGATATCTATACTGAATTACTTATGAATAAATGTCCAGGATCTTCTTTAAAATTATCCAGTGGAGGGGTGGGGAGTGGGTGGAGGTTCGATGAAATGAGAGTGGCCATAGTTAGCTGCTGAAGTTAGGTAATTTGTCCATGGGAGTTTATCATAAAAGGCTCTCTAATATTTTTTGAAAAATTTTATTATAAAAAAGTTTTACTTAAAGGTTTCCAGCTGCTCAATTTTTGGCTAATAGCTTGTATAATCAGTGTCTCAACAGGAAATGAAAGACACATTTAAGTTAGGACAATTAAAGGAGGGTTTATTTACAAAGGGTCTGTTTTCAAAGGCATGGGGTAGTCATAGAGGAACCACAAGGAAAAGCGCAGGAACATGAAGTTAGTGACAGCTGAACCGGTATATGCCCAGGCACAAAGGGAGAAGGGAGGAAGCTGTTACTGGACTGGAAGAAGAGTTTTATAGAGGCCTCCTGTAGAGGATACGCGCATTCATCTTCCTCTCTCCCATCTCTTGTCAGACCCATTT